ATTTACTTAGTATAAAAAAAAGTTTTAGATACAGGCTCGGTGCATTCGCACTTATAGTAAAATTTATATATAAAAAACAAAATTTTGTCTAGTTGACTGGAGAATTGCCTATTAATGATAATAAATCGCTATTAACAAAGAGGTCACCTTAATACCGAAAAAAAAATAAAAATAAAAAAAATAAAAATAAATATTGCAATTTTGATTGATCATATGTAATAGGAAGAAGATCTTATGCATAATGATGGGCCATATTGGGAGTATATGTATATACATCAATATCAGTATTATGCAGCATATGATCTTTATTTCCAACTCGGGTTTGTTATATGAGCTTTAGCATTAGCCAACTTTAGCATTAGCCATGACAATAATTATCAAGATATTTATTATCAATATTTAAGTAAAAATAACATTTATTTAATAATCAATTATTATGAAATTTTGTTATTTTTATTCAAACTTTAATGATAGATATTTCAATAACTATTAATTCAAATCAGCTCAAATTTTTATTATAGAAAGTATTAATATTTTTCTATTATATATAAAAATTTTAGCTAATTTAGTCTAGTAATTCTCTAATAATTGTTTGCATATAATAGTTAATTTTTTTAAAAAACTAACTATTGTATACAAGAGTTTACTCAAGAACTACAAGACCAAATTAGCTAAAATTTTATATATAATAAATAAATATCAATACTATATATATTAAAAATTTGAGCCAATTTTAATTAATAGTTATCAAAAGATATATATTATCAAAGTTTGAATAAAAATAACATATTTGTTTAATAATTAATTATTATAAAATTTTTGCTATTTTTACTCAAACTTTGATGATAGATATCTTGATAACTATTGATTCAAATTATTTTTAATTTTACTATAAATAGTGTTGATATTATTACAGGTTTTGGCTACCAATTTCAAACAAATTAACAATTAAATTCAAACATAATAATGATCAAATTTGAACCAATTTTAGACATCATAGCAATCAATTTCAAACATCATAAATCAAATTTGGGCATCAAAGCAATCAAATTCAAATATCATAGCAATCAAATATAGACACTAAAGCAATCAATTTCAAACATCATAGTAATCAAATTCAGACAGTGTTATCTTGCAATTTAGTAATCCAAATTATGCAATATTGGCGCCATCCAACTTATCTTAATAAGATGAGTTGAATAGTACCAAAATTATGTGATTTGGATTACTAAATCATAAAATATTGCTATTGAATTTGATTGCTATAGTGTTTAAATTTAATAGTTATATTGTCTAATTTGATTATTATAATGTTCAAATTTGATAGTTATGATATTCAAATTTTATTGCTTTGATGTCTAAATTTGATTGCTCTAATATCTAAAATTGATAGTTTTTATATTCAAATTTGATTATATTAGATATTATATTAATTTTAATATAATAACAAGTCTTGTCTATATAGCCTATAATTTTTGTATCTACTGTTGTTTTATTATTATGTTCAAATTTGATTATTAATTTGTTGAAATTGGTGACCAAAACCTGTATATATAGCTAATTTGGTCTGATAGTTCTCAAGTAATTGCTTGTATATAATAGTCAATTTTTTTAAAAAATTAACTATTGTATATAAACAATTATTTATAAATTACTAGTCTATATTGGCTAAAATTTTCAATTATTACTATGGTGTTTAGCACTATATATAATTGTTTTTGATAAAATTTATAATGCATTTTTATAAAGTTTTTTTTTATATATTATTATATATATTAGATATAAGGTTTCAATTTTAGTTTTTATGAGGTTTTTGGAGATTCTAACCATTTTTACTTAGAATACCTGATCCCATTTACTTAGTATAGTTTTGAGAAATAGAAACCTATGGTGTTGAACACTATAGGTGCATTTTAGTAAACTTGGAAATTTATATATATAATATAATAATATTGACATTATTTATAGCAAAAATTTGAGCTAATTTGAATTAATAGTTATTGAGTAAAAATAACAAGTTTGTTATATTTAATAGGCATTTTAGATTTAAACTTATAAATAAAAAATATTATTTACTTTTTTAAAATCACATTATTTTAATTATTTTATATTATGTGATTATATAGAAGTAATTTTATTAATATATAATCACAAAAGGTGCTAGTTAAATTGGGTGATTATATGGGAGGATGACTGTATAATACTGGATAAATATGATTGACTATTACTGATCTTTATATGCTTTGAAGAATAATTAGATTTTTTTCCATAATCATAAAACTCAAATTTTTAATGTTAGTAACATTTATGACATATAATCGCATATAATATATATGATTGATTAGGTTTTTACGAGCTGAATTTATAAATAATAAATGATATAAACTTGAAAGTCCAAAGTTTCATTATTCTTGGTAGTGCTCAAATGATTGCATCTAATCTATCTTTTTTTTAACCCAGTGCTTTTTTTTTCATTTTATTTTTTTTTTTCTAATTAGCTATTCTATCTTATCTCATACTACTATACATTACATATTATATCGTTCATTCATCATTTTATCTATCATTATCATTGTTGGTTATTCTTACATATGGGATCTTAATTTGCCCTTCGGAAGAATCATAGTCTCACGTTATATTTTTAGCAAAAATCACAGTATTTACAAATAGACTAGTTGCACAATCAAAGTTTAGCAAATTGGCCAAAGTTTATGGTCGGAATGCATTAGAGTTAGACCGGCATTGAACAATTATAATAACCAACTATATTATAGCATAATTAACATCGATAAATTACTGGATTGTTGGCAAAATTCATTAATTCTCATCCTTCTGTCCCAGAATTTGGTCTATATGCTGAATATTGGTTGCGCAACTAACCTATTCTAATTTATGACGTATTGAATTACCTTAAGCACTGACATTTAGACATGCTTAATTAATAGAAGTTAAATATATTGAACTTGAACAAGCTCATGAACCCGAACCTGCCTTAAAAGTTCAATATTGAACTCAGACTGAACTGTATTTTTAAAAATAAGTCTGGTTCGGGTCTGGTTCAAATTTGAACCGAACTTGAACTCAACCTAAAGTTCGGTTCGGTTCATAGGAACACTATTATACAGTATATATACTTATTATATATATAATATTATTTTATAAAATTTAGCAGTTAAAATGTTTAATATCTATAGCATATTAATAAATCTGTAAAAGTCTAAATATAAATTTATTTACTTAATAAATATAATACAATGTTTTAAACCCTGTTAAAAAGCATCTTATTAAATTTAAAAATTAAAATTTTGTTATATATATATAAATTTTATTTAAATTTAATAAATTTTTTTAAAAATTTATCTAAGACTTTGGTAAAACCCCCCCCCCCCCCCCCATATCCAGACAAGATTAACAAAATAAAATTTAAATTTTTTTTCATAAATGTTTAATGCTAAAACGGCTTAATAAAATTTTTTCAAAATTTAAAGCATGTAGAAAATTCATTATCTCAGTTAAAAAAGTGTTTTCATATGTAGTCACGATATCAAATCATGAGATATCAGGTTTCCATTCATTAATATCCGGGAAATGTATAAGGATAATTATAAATTGAAATGATTGATTAAATCTAATTATATGTAAAAACTTCATCCGTTTTGACAACTTGAAATACCTCAAAATCTATCACATCAAAAGTATCTGGGCGAAAGAAGTTTTTCTCATAAAAACGTACCATATTGAAATTATCAGGCATAAAAATATTTTTCTCATAATCTGAATGAAGACTTGTTCCATTAAACCACATAAGATCACGTCCAAAACCTATTTTATCAGGGGCATACCCATGATTAAAAATAGCACATCCAGCCGGAGAAACTCTACTAAGAATAGAATTCTTTAAATTATTGTCGTCATTATCCATGGAAAAAATAAAACTACGATTAGTGGCCAAGAGCTCAGTCTTAGAAGTCCAACTAAGAGGATTGTAACCGCCAATAATTGTGTTGCGACGACAATTTGATTCACGAATTTTGATTACCACAACAGTCGGACCGGTATCATCACATTTACGATGAAAGTCCGAAATTCGCATACCATGACTGCTACCACGCATTAGTAATCTTAACTTATAATGCAGGTAATGGTTCTTACGAACCTTCTCAAAAGAAAACTCTCTTTCTTCTATCCAGCAAGTAATCAAAGCAGCTTGTCTTGAGGAAATCAATTCAGAGCCAAAAGTTATATGGTGATCTTCTAAACGTTCATATAATTGATTAGACAAAATTTTTTTAAATGGAATAATTTTAGATTTAAAGTCATTATGGGAGATATTAAAAAAACGTATATGGATTAGAGCTTGTTGAACTCTGGATTTTAAAGTTTCAAAATCATCATCAGTCCATATTGAAATATTGGGATTAAAAGGTGGATGTTGACAGATTCCCCAATCAATTACATGATTCCATATATCTATTTCTTTAACTGAGAGGTCATCCCGTTTTAGAAGTGATATTAGAGTTGAGAGATCTAATTTAGCGAAATCGTTAGAACCGAAAACTAAATCAGGAGTTTTATCGATTATTTCTTGACAGTGATCACGAAGTTTTGAGAAATTATTAGTTAGTTCGGAAAACTGGTAAACTTTTATGAGATTTTTAAGGAGCCAAGGTCTTTCAGAAGCTATGATATGTGATTGAATGTGAGTAACCAAATCAAAAAGGGCCAATTCATCAGCGGCTAATAGAAGGTCCAGAGAAAATTCCTGGACACCGGCTTCAAAAAGGTTGCACGTTCCCGTATATATGTATCTTTAAAAGGGAGGAACGGATATACTATGGCATTAGTCTTGAATAAAACAATACATTGAGATAAGTATATTAAATAGAAAGATGATTACTTTAAGATAATTTTAAAAATTTTTGGAGCAATATTAGGCTTATCAAATACAATAAGGTCATTATCTCTCTTTGCCCATTTTGAGGATAACGCTGTATGGAAGTATGCAGACCTCGCTCGTAAAATTACTGAATGAGCTTTAAATGATTGGGTATCAGAATCTTTTCCTACATTAATTGTTACGTTATAATCATCAGCATCAGAATAAAGTTTTGTGATATCACGAAGTAATGCTGTTGTCAAAGAGAATGTTGGTGTTAGGGCAGACATTTTCTTAAGAAAATACATGTAGCTTTGCGCTAAGCTTATAATCAAATAAATTCTAAAGAATATGCGTAATCAGCCCTTTGGTACAACATAGCTTGTGATTTGTTTATCTCACACCTTTCAAATAAGTACCGGGATCTGCAATATACGTATGTAAAATACGTATGCTAGATCTGTACCTGCATAAATATCGACATCGATACAAAAATTTTTCTGACCTCAAAATAAAAATCTTCATGGATATGCTCTTTTGAATTAACTTCAGTCGCATGCGAATAAAATACTATCGATCGAAATAAGTTAAGATTAAATCTATGTAATTCATTTCTATTAGACCGAAAATATTTATGTTGGAGCTTTCATAAAGAGTGTATAGTAAAGTAGTACGGTACGGAAACACAAATTAGGACGGACGTATAGAAATCATGATACTACGTACGGTTTGTAAAAGAAAAATTTTCAAACCAAACCAAAGTTACTTTTTTAAGTCTGTATTTGTTAAACGTTATTTTCAAATTTCCATCAATTAAAAAATTGATGTATGCTACTACATTAGAAAGTACGAAAAGCATTATTTTTATAAGGGTTTTATTTCATATTACATTGATTTCCATTATTTTTTGATATTTCGAAGAGTCTTATTAGTTGAGTTTTGTGAGGTACCGTGCTTCATAAATCTTCAATAGGATAACCACAGTTATGTTTATCCAAATGAAAATTCAACTGATAACTCTAATTTTAACTAATTTAAGGTATTAAGAAGCTTGGTTTTTGTGTTTAAATGGGTTTTTAAAACCGATCATATTTTGAATAATCAATTATACTTTCATTTTTTCGGCCATTCGACCATTCGACCATTTACATAGCTGTCAACAATTTTTTCAACGAAAAAATTGAATGACTAATAAAGTATTTGAAGCCATTTTGCAAAGAAAATAAAAAACCATAAAAATTTTTTTAAAAAAATTCTTTTATTAATGGATTGGATTTACCTATACTAGATTTAGTATGTCATTAAACTACATTATCTATTAATTTTTAAAATTAACTACCTTATTAAATACTTTTATACTATACTTTAACCTTTTGCCTGATTATAAAAAAAAGCTAATAGCTTTAAAATTTTTTAGAATTTTTTTTAGACCAAGAACTTCTAGTTTAGACTAATTTTTTATAGTATTTACTAGTAACCTTATAGAATATATTTATTTATAAAAAATTTTTTTATTAAATAAATTTGATTTTTTTTTTAATAAAAGTTTTTTTTTTTTTTGGTATTAAGATGACCTCTTTGGCCTGGGACTTTTTATTAAGTAGAAACGACATTATACAATTATAACGAAGGTACATCAAGCTACACGTGCACCTTTTGGGTGCCTAATTTAAGTAGTCCACCCAAAGGTTCTACACTATCTGCCATACCTGCACTCCAACTAGGGGGTACCCATTTAAACCCTCTAGTTACAACCGTTAGTGGCTTCTACCTAACTCACTATTCAGAAGTAAATTTTGTAACACCTTTTTTAATAAAAGTTATAAAGATTAGTTTACTAATTTAAATTATAAAATTTTTTTAAATTTTAATTAATATTAAAAAGTTATTTAAATTTAAAATTTTTAGTAGTAAGTACTATATAAGGCTATATAAATTTAATTTTTTGGTTCTTATAACCTAGCCAGGTTATATTTTGAAATTTTTTTAAAAAAATTTTTTATATGTTTTAATAGAAGTATGGGATTTCAAAAAAATTTTTTAAATATAAAATTTTTAAATAAAAGTCCAGGCGGCCAGGTCATTTTTTTTGTTCCATGTTATGAGAATCAAAAAATTAACTTTGTATAGTCTAAAGTTTTATATTAAAATATAGATATGATTTTTTTAAAATTTAAAATAATATAACTTGAAATAAATTAATTTAATAATAAAAAAATTTTAAAATCAAAATTAGATACTAATTTATTTTAAATTTATTTAAAATTTAAAAAAAATTTAATCAATAAAAATTTTTTAAATTGTAGTTAAACTTGTATAGCTTACTATTTAGTAAATATATATAATAAAAGATGTAATGACTTAGTGTAGTACCATATCGCACTGCTTATAGTATCCCCCTCAAATAATATCCTACTACATAAAGTACCTCCCTTCTCCACCAATGAAATTGCCAGATTTGTGAATAGTACTCAATACTATTCAATTTTAAAAATGATGTTCTTGAATAAGACTCTGAGTACTATAAGCAGTGTAATATAGTAGTCTAGTTGTCATCTTCTCCAAGTGGCAGGTCTAGAGTTTGAATCCCACTGGTGACTAGTGTATAAAATTTGAAAAAAATTTTTGTGCATATATGCATATAGGAAAAATTTTTTTATGCACATTTTAAAAATTTTTATATAAAATCATATACAACTTATATATTAATTAGAATGCATATTTAATTTAAAAAATTGTACACACTAAAATAAAATAATACACATATATACACTGTGTACATGAATTTTATATACTGCTGGTAATAATTTTAAAAAATAAGCCTGTGTATGGTTGACAGCTTTCTATTAGTTGATCCAGGTTAATCTGTAACCTTGGTTATATTATTTAGTAATAGAAGCTTCAGCGCAATAAATCTAGAGAACCAGAATAACTGAAAAACCTGTTTGGCAAGTTCTGAGTCTAGAGGTAGCAGTGATCTTTAATAATATTATAGGAAGGCTGAATTTGAACTAGGGCCCAAGTTTAGATAACTAAGCAATTAGGTTCTTAAGTAGAAAGACACACCAGCCAAACTGCCAGGTATTAGACATACTAGAAAAAAAGGCCATATACTTCAAAAGTATAAACCAAGAAGAAAGTAACTGTGAGGCACTTAAAGCCTAGGCAAACTGACCTTTCCAAGTTGCTGGCTGGAAGCAAAGGATAAACCAATAAAGAATCTGAATAAAAAGATGGTTGAAATATGGTATTGGGGTTGTTGTAAACTTTACAAGAGCAGGAGTATATAATAGGCAACTAATTAAAAAGGTTGTGGCTTGAGATATAAATTGAGTTATAGTAGCACTCCAAAGTTGGCTTGAAATACAAACCCAGTAATGGTAGTATAACAGGTACTAGTTAGAAAGAAGTTACCAAACATGCAGGTAAAAACATGTATAAGATATAAACTACTCTGTTAGATTTATCTTATGAATAAACTAGTTCTAATTAGGCTAATAAGTTCTAAAGTGAGTGCAAAATCTGATTGGATAGAAACAAAATCTACTTCTGTATAGTAAGTAATACTAGGGTTAGAAGTTCATATTGGCTTGGAAGTAAATTATAGTTAGAGAGTTTAAATGAATACTCTTATAGTTGGGGTACAGGTATAGCAAATAGTGTAAAACCTTCAGGTGAACTACTTAAATTAGATATCTAAAGTGCATATATGGCTTGATATACTCTTACTATAATTGAAATTAAACTTTTTAATAAAACATTCTTTGGCTTAAAAGATCATCTTAATATCAAAAAAAAATAATAAATAAATATATACAATAATTTTTAAAAAAACACTTATAATAAAAGTATTTATTTTTATAATATAATAAATAAAAAATTTTAATTAATGATAAAACTACTAAATTGTTTTATATAATTAAACTTTTAGTTTATAAAATTTATTAATATATTATAAATATAATTAGATCTAAAAAGTGTACTAGATTTTGTATATCAAAAGTTACAAAAAATACTTAATACAAAAAAATTTTATTTTAATAATTCAAATAATATAAAATGTACCTATAGTGTTTAGCACTATAGATAATTGATTTTAATAAATTTAGAGTTAGGGTTAGGAAATAAATAATTATTTTTTTTTATATATAAAATAATATAGAGCTAATATAAGATCTTAAATTTAGTTTTTATAAAGTTTTAGGGGTCCTAAATATTTTTATTTAAGAAACCCAATCCAAAGACCCGGAAAAGTTCATATATAAATATATATAAATATATCAGAATTTTTAATGCAAAAAGGTATAAAATGGAATTTTTAGAGTTAGATACAATCACATGATTTATATTAAATGTGATTGGATAAAAATCATGTGAAATTGCTTTCTGTCATGATTTTAAAATTTCATTGTAAACCTATTTAAAGAATAAATGATTTCATAATATCATTATTACTATCAGACTATAAATAAAACATATTACTAATCCATTTTAATTATTTGTATTGATTCTGTTAGAAACAAGTTTATTCAATAAAAAAAAATGTTTTAGTATTAGATTAATTTTGCGTGTGAAGGTTAAAAAATAAATAAATAAATTTAAATTAAATACTTAATTTGGAATAAAATTGTCTTCGTTATATTATCTAGTATTGGTTATAAAAGCAATATGTTTTAATATTAAAATTTTAAAAACTTTTTTAACCAATATTCATTTAAAATGCCACCAAAACGTATCTCAGCATATAATTGTGTACAAGAATTTCTAGAAGACTTTTTTTGTGATAATAATGTCTTAATATGCTGATTTTGTAATCATTCAGTTAATTGGGAACACAAGACAACTATTGTTACGCATATAAATACAGTGAATCATAAAAAATTTAAAGAAAATTTAAGTTCTAGACAAACAAATTTTATATAACAAATATTAAATACAACAATCAATAAAAATAAATCAAAAAAAAATATAATTAATGATCTAGTTTTAGCATTTGTTAATGCTGATATATCTTTGAAAAAAGTTGATAAACTTCTTTCTTGGATCAAAGAATATATAAGAGAGGGTGGTTCTATTCCTAAAGCAGATACTCTACATTAGCAATATCTTTCTACAGTTTTTCAAATACAATTAGCTTAATTAAAAAAAAAAATTTGATAATAAACCTGTATCAATAATTATTGATAAAACCACTGACAGTAGAGCATGAAGTGTAGTTAACACATTATTTAGCTATTAAAGTTTAATATCTTTAATAGCTGTAGATTATTTAGATCATGTAAATAATTCT